TGTGTGTGTGTGTGTGTGTGTGTGTGTGTGTTTGAGAGGGGGGGGGGGGGGGGAGAGGGGGGGGAGGGGGGGGGAGGGAGAAGAAAAAGAAAAAGAAGGAAACTTATTTAGCAAAGAAGAAAAACAAATGCTGTCGCTTTAAATCGGAACTGAGCATGCCTGGCTGTGGAATTCTGGGAATTCCAAGTCCACAAGTCTAAAAAAATTGCTGCCTCACCAGCCATAAACCTCACCGCACGTCACTGCACCAAGGAGCTTAAAGTGGACTATAGAAGGAATAGATAAGACATTCAGCCCTTGCTTATCAATGGAGAACGAGTGGAGCAAGTGGCCAATTGTAAGGTTCTGGGTATTATCATAAAAGAGGACCTGACCTGGGGCGCTCACATTGCTGCACTGGTCAAAAGGGCCCAGCAGAGATTATACTACCTGAGGCTTCTCAGGAAACAACTGAATGAAAATCTGCTGGTAACTTTCTACCGCTGCACCATAGAGAGGATTTTAACTTACTGCACCTTTGTATGGTTTGCCAATTGCACAATGGCAGATAGGACAGCACCTCAGAGGGTTATGTGTTTGTGTTTTATTTTTATAGTTATAATATACACTGAAGGTGGCATTTAATTTCATTGAAGTGCAATGACAATAAAGTAAACTAAACTAACTAAATCTATGTGCCAAGTTCTGAAGCCTCAGTTCTGGACCACTAGAAAATTTTCCTCAACTTTGCTCTGACCACTGAGCAATGTACTGTCAAGCTCAGTTTTATGTGACTCAATACCCTTTAGCTGTTTTCAAGAGGCTGAAGAAAAGACGCATTCCTGTAGCTATGTCAACAAAGTTTGCTTGACTATCTCTACAGAACAAAATAGTAAGATTCTGCAAACTCCCCTGCTTGCCATCTGCCATTTTTCTAAGGCTGGTGGAGATCTTTCCTTCTAGTTATTAAGTCGGAAATTTATGTGAAGATGAAGGGAAAGAAAAATATATTCAAGATTGCAGGTGGACTTTTAATCTCAGTAAAATTAAGGTCTCTCATTTATGGAACATTAATTTCTAACCTAATGAGTAAGAGGCAGGGACTCTGTTGACACAGGAAGAGTAGTACTTTCAATCTTCTTGATGGTAGAGCCAGCTGGGACTGTGGAAGGGAAATGAGGAGGCACTTGCCCCACACAACATACTAGTATTCCTATCCTGCCTCATCCCCATTGCTGTCTAAAAGTTACCTCACAAGAGTATCATTTTACATATTGTTACCTATTGGGTTCTTATCTCGCACCAAACCATGTGTTTTCACATCACTAAGCCAGCTATCCTGGTTTGTACACAAATAATACTAAACTGTGGTTTACAAGACACATTGCGGTTTAGTACATTGCAAGAGCCTGATTTTAACCCATTTCAAGGTACCGGTTATCCGCACGTGGTTATAATGAAGAAAGCTCTGCCAGAAAGCTTGACCTGCGGTAAAACAAACCATAAGCCATCCTGAGCAGATACACGCATAGAAATCAATTCCGGTGTAGGTGAAACTTACCAAGCGATTCTCTGGCACTCCTAGCACAACTTCATGTAAAAGATCTCCACTGCCAAAATGCTGTGCTATCGACAACCCACTCAGGCAGTAGCATGTATGGTAAAAATCTCGAGACCTGGAAGGGAATCACACATAAGGTTGAGGTAACAGAAACTGGAGTGTTTTTATGCTAGACGTGCATGCTTTTATGTAGAGTTCCTTTTTGAAATTAGCAATAGCACTTAGTTATATACCACTTCACACTGCTTTACCGCCCTCTCTTAAGTGGTTTACAGAGTCACAATATCCCCCCCAAAAAAAACATTCTGGGTCCTCATTTTATCCACCTCAGAAGGATGGAAAGCTAAAAGGCTGAGTCAACTTTGAGCCTGGTGAGATTCAAACTGCCGAACTGCAGGCAGCAGTCAGCAAAAGTAGCCTGCAGTACTGCATTTGAACCACTGCGCCACCACGGTTCTTGAAATTAGGTTTAAAATATGTAGAAAATCAAGCCAACAGGCAAAATCTAGATTAAGACTCCAGCTGTGTACAGGCCCTTGGTCTCACCTTGAATATAGGTAATCCTTGACTTACAACCACAACTGAGCTTAACATTTCTGTTGTTAAGTGAGAAATGTGTTAAGTGAATTTTGCCCCATTTTACAACCTTTCTTGTCTCAGTTGTTAAGTGAATCACTGCAGTTGATGTTAGTAACCTAGTCGTTAAGTGAATCTGGGTTCCCAATTACTTTGCTTGTCAGAAAGGTTGCAAAAGGTGATCACGTGATCTTGGGACACAGCAACAGTCATAAATATGAACCAGTTGCCAAGCATCTGAATTTTGATCACATGATCATGGGGATGTTTGAATGGTTGTACTGTGAAAAATAGTCATAAATCACTTTTTTCAATGCCATTGTAACTTTGAATGGTCACTAAATTCTAAGTTGAGGACTACCTGTACCTCACATTCAGTCCATAGGTATCCCAAAGGCAGGCAGAAAGATCTGGAGGGTGATGATCAAATTCCATCTCCTCAGAGTCTTTAGCTTTCATTTCTCAAGTTTTCTCTGGCCACCAATGCATATATTAATCTGGCTACATTTATTTTCACAATGGAACGCAAGGCAAGGAAGGGGCTTTAAAGTTTGGTTGAGTTAAATGGGGTTGCCAGTAAGTTTGGGATGAGCTGTTTCTCTTGTTAAGTTAAAGCAGAATTATGGCAATTTAAGCTAACTTAATTAAATGGATTGCTGAATTCTGTTGCTCTTGACAAAAAAGTGTGGAAATTGTATGTTTCGATGCAGATTAACCCAGATTCTCCAATTCAGATTCTGATGCTAGTTCCTCCCTAACTCTACCTCTCCAAAACACCTTCTCTGCCTATCATTTTAATGCATCTCTATTATGTAAAGTGATTTTAATTACCATCCGACCAAGATTTTTGATAATCCCAAATTTATCATTTTCAACTGCAAGGAAGATGCCTGTCAAGAATCACCCACTATTACTCACTTTCCTGGCTTATCCAAAAGACCTCCTGCAGGACATTGGCAACACAACAAGATATACTCTTGAAGAGCTTGTTGGTCAAACATCCAGTGTGTCATACTGAGAGCGGGATCACCTAAGAGAAACATCACATCAATAAATACTTAAGAAAAATTAGTTGAAAATACTTCCTGCACACTATGCTAATGGGAATATACAAAGGGAAGCTACTTGATCCAAGTTTAGTCCTATAGCATGACCTTATTGGAGAACTATATTTCCTATCTTATTGTCTAGATTTACTCTTCCCAAACCTGGACACTATCCTAGATTTTTAAGTTCAGCTCTTCAGTTTTTTCCTATCTAACATAGCTATTGCTGAGAATTTTGGGAGTCAAAGCTGTTTTGGAAGACAGGTTTGGGTAAAGCTATTCAGATGGACTCCAATATTCATTGTGCCCAGCCAGGCTTGGAACTGTAGCCCAACACAAGGAATACACCAGATTGAGAACGTCCTGACTCATAAGGATCAGTTGTAGCAAATGTGGCTCACTTAATCATGATCAAGATGGTGCCTCCTAGGTTTTCCTATTTTACCCTACTGAACTTTTAAGGAGACTCTGCAGGCAAGAACTAAGTTTCTAGCAGTTGTTGGCAACTGCTGCTTGTCCTCTAGTCTTTCCAATTATAGGTACTCAATAGATCATCCACCAGTCGTATGCTGTGCTGCAAGACAAGTGGAGAATCCAGTTGCTAAGGAAATAATTAGACCCAAATGAGTATTGAGCAAGAGACAGGTTGGAAAAGAGACAGAACTAAAAATGTACTTTGCCTATCCTCAAACATAACATTTTTCTTGTGTTTCTAATCTTTTGCCTGTCAGCGGTCTGTTGCATTACATGCTTTCTAGTCTTATTACTAAGTTGAAAGAAGAATATTTCCCAGTTGCTACAAAAATCAGAATGCAAAAGCTAAGATTATTGTGTCTGCTTCCGCCTTGAGCTTTCATTGAACTCCAGCATACTTGTCTACTCCAAAGAGGAAATCAGTGTCAAAAAACTGTGCCCAGTGGGGAAAGCATGGCTAACATTTCGAAGTTCAGACTTACCTTTGGCATGCAAAGCTCGATGTAGGAGAGGCAGTAAACCAGCCTGCCAGAATGAGTAGCAGCCATCCACCAGCTTGTTACAACGACCCTGAAACCCTCCTTCAAAACGCATCTGACGGCTTGTAACCCAGTGCTGGCAGAGAAAGCAAAGCAATCACCACTCTTGTCCACAACAATCAGAGAAGCTGTTACACACAATAGACTCAACTTAAGAGAGTCAGACATTTGCATGTTTTTATTTCCCCTTTAGTTTAATACAGCCTTATTACAACAATGTATCCAGGTAGCTACCCTTAGTTATAAAACTGAAAGAAGGAAACAAAAAAATCAGACTGCTCAATCGTCATACTAAAAATAATTTTATTTAACACCATTATAACATGGTAGAGTTGCTATCCAGCAAAGTCATTGAGAAATGATGGTATAGCAAATAATCTCCACCAATAATGGATATGACTGGTTTTCCTCAGAGTGATAATGGGCAAGAACTTTCACTGTTACCATTTTTAATGCTGTGATATGTTTTGTTATTCTTTCCATTTTGTATTTTTAATAACACAATAATATTATCTATCTAGAATAATATTTAATAACTTTGGAAAGGTGCTCAGAGCCTTTATGAAACTGAGTGAAGTAAAATTGGCAATACTAAATAAATACCAAAAGTTGTGTATACATTTTTTAATTGAAATGCTGACATGAAATTCACACATCATTGCTAAAGAAATCTTCTATGGTGGCATGCTGAATACAGATCCCATCATCACAGCCAGCACTCCTAGTGTTGGGCTGGGGATGATTGGATTGATCTGAAGCAATGAGATTGGGAATTTGGGTACTAAATTAGTAAAACATTTTTACTTTTATGGATTAGATGGAGATTTGAGACTTAAGAAATAATGCCAGACAGTTTATCCAGCAGAAATATTTACACAACGCAGAGCCCAATTATGCAATTTTGTAATCTGACAGAAATATCCAAGTACTAGATTTGGGGAGCAGTAAAAGAGGAACATCAACTATAAAGAAGATACAAGTACGTTAGGGTTAAACGGGAAGCCTATTAGCAATGCATTAATCATGAATTAGGCCCATCATTTATTTCTGAAACTGCAATACAGGCTTGCACTAAAGGTAAAGGTAAAGGTTCCCCTCGCACATATGTGCTAGTCATTCCTGACTCTAGGGGGCAGTGCTCATCTCCGTTTCAAAGCCGAAGAGCCATCACTGTCCGAAGATGTCTCTGTGGTCATGTGACCAGCATAACTAAAAGCCAAAGGCACATGGAATGCTGTTACCTTCCCACCAAAGGTGGTCCCTATTTTTCTACTTACATTTTTAACATGCTTTCAAACTGTTAGGTTGGCAGAAGCTGGGACAAGTAACGGGAGCTCACTCCGTTACGCAGCACTAGGGATTCAAACTGCTGAACTGCCAACTTTCTGATTGACAAGCTCAGTGTTTTAGCCACTGAGCCACCGCATATCTGCACAAGCTTGGACTATGGACAGCCAATTAGAAAATACCAATGGAAGACTGGTTTGAATATGTTGACTGCAGTAGGCTTAATATATGCACAAAGATGAAAAACTGAGATACCCACAATGGAGAAATGGACAGTAAAGATGGAGAAAAAAATGAAATGATGATTTATGGATTTGCCATAATTTAAAAAAGAGTTGGATATAGGGGAAATATGATGTAAGTGTGCAGATTTACTTGTAACTGCTGTAAAGGAGAAATAGAGTCATTCCTTTATATATTTTTATTTATTTATTTCAGTTTCTTCTTTCAGTTCTTCTCACTTTTTCAATTTTTTCTTCTTTTCCTTAATTTTAGTTTAGATTATTTTCTCCCAAAGGTACTTTTTCAAGAGGCAACTGGACTTTCTGGTTTTTCTTTGAAGACATTTCGCTTCTCATCCAAGAAGCTCAGATGTGAAGAAGTTTCTTGGATGAGAAGCAAAACATCTTCAAAGAAAAAAACCAGAAAGTCCAGTTGCCTCTTGAAAAAGAACCTTTTGGAGTTCTCCCAAAAAGAAACCACAAAATAGTAAGGAAAAGAGGAGGACAGGGAAAACCCTGGGAAAGTTACTAGAATAATAAAAGTAAATACTCTGAAGAAAAGATACAACAATCACAAAAATAGGAAAAAGAAAAAGAAGTCAGAGGAAAAGGGGAGAAGTAGGGAAAGAATTAAAACTGGAATTTTTGAGAGCCCCAGAGAAAATGGTTTAAAAGAGGAAGAAAGGAAAAAAGAGTTACATTAGTAGACTAAAGAGTGTAGTAGTAAGATTGTTATTGTGAGGTAACTAATTAAAAAATAAAGAAATGGTAGTATATTGTTAATTGAAGAAAAATGCTTAATTTGAATTAGAGAATGTATGCTGTTTATAGCAAAATATACCAATGAGAAAATAAAAAAAGGAAAATTTGGTGTAACTTTGAAGGGGCAATGGAAGATATTGTTTATGTATTAAGAAAAAATAATCATAAAGATGAAAAATAATGGAAGAGAATAATTTGGCAGAAAGTAAAAATGAAACTATGATGTAAAAAGGACTATGCAAATGAGAGCATGTAAAAGAAAAGACACGGACAACTCTTTGTTCCTATGATATGTATAATTTTATTAAAAATTAAAAACCTTGAATGGGGGGGGAAGCACCTTTGGGACAACCGAGACCATGGATGACTAAGAATCTCCCAAGACATTTATATTACTTTGTTTTATATCTGAGAACGTTTTAATAAAAATTATGAAACTGTAATTTAGATGCATTTGATTTCTCTTCTCTTCTTTGAATAGCATGAAATAGATAAGTGAATCCAACAAATGGTTACTTACTAATAAACTTTTCAAATTCAAAACTTGTTCATTTTTGAGAATGACCAAGGCTGCCAATCCACAAAATGTGTATCCTCCATGGGCTTCCATTCCGGGGACACCACCGATACCGCCCTCCCAGTTTTGACATCTAATTCAAAATTAAAACACAAAAGCAGAGGCTGTATTCTTGTTTCAAGATAGAAAATAAGATTAGTGTTTGTTTTTCTGCTTTTCCTGCTCTGGATAACAGTCTAAGTCTGTTAAATTGCCAAGAGTTTCTTACCTTGCGATCCATTCTGCAGTTTTTTCAAAGAGAGATGGTGAAATAATGTTGGTAAGGGAAGCTACGGATGCAGCACAATAGGCACTTCTGAGATTGAAATAAAAGAATATTTAAAAGCTTTAGATGGAGAAGGAATATACATGGCTCTACTGTTGTTAAGTAAGAAATCCTATATTGCACTGTACTATCTTTTACTATTACACTCAGGATGCTCTTGAAAAATAACATGCGTTATAAAAAGAAGAAAGCTATTAACTTTTAGTAATTCTTCCACTCTCAAAAAAGCCTACATGCAATGAAACAGCTTTGTGTAAAGGGGAGGCAAGAGATGTAGATAAAGTTGGCAACTCTCTGCCAACAGAGGATTTACATCAGCAACACAAGGAAGGAGACAATTTCTGGCAGGTTCCCATCTGTGCTATGGGCAACCTCCCACTCTAAACTGAAAAACTTCCCTGATTCTCAGAATAGAGAGCTGGGGGGGAAATGTGTTGAAGGGGGCATCATTAACAATTGGCTTCCTTCCTATTTCATTCCAGCTGAATGAAAAAGGCTTCTGTCAGCAAAGCAACATCAATTGGGCACATTTTTTAAAGCACAACAGAATGGAAATTATACCAAAAGCTAAATTTGGACGTTTACATTCACCCTTCAGTTAACCAACTGGTAATTTAATTTACATTTATAATTACAAAACATATTTTGTGACTATTGATATTAAGACAGAGACCTCTCTTATATCTTTTCCTTACAATCTCATGGAGGAGAGGGGAAGTTCCAAAGAAATTGTAGTCTTACACAAATGTGAAATCATTTATTGATTCCCCACACTGAATAGTGTAAACTTCTGTTTTAAAAGTGTCTTCTTTCATCAATTTGCTATACCAAAACAAAACCTGAGCATGTGTGCTGTTTTTCCCCACAGTCACATGGAACTCCTCTGAATTACAGTCACGGCAAGACAACCTTGTTGACCCTTATTGAGGGTGTTTCCTCAGAGCAGTGGCCAAGACCTCAATCTCTTACTTTATGTCTAGCCATGTCATTACTAACTTGTGTAGAATGTTAAATGCACTTCAGGAGAAACCTCCTAGTAATCAATAGCTCCTGATTTGCTTTTTGAGAGAGTAATACATGGAAAGTTTTCAACATACCGGACATCAACTTCACCTCCTAGGTGCATGATAAAGGAGCCATCAGGCTGCTTCAGGGAATACAGGTATTCCAGAAGCTTCTCTCTGAAAATGAAAAGAAGCTGATAAGATGAGGAACTTCAGTAATATTTATCCCAATTAGGAGAAAATCAAAGTAGCACGAATGGTTCAGAATCTCTACAACTTTTTCATTTTTTTGATGGCAACCTCCCCATAACATGCTCTTTCTGAAGAATCTTGGGCCCTCATCATCAAAGGCAGAGTTTTCATTTCTACCAAAGCACCTGGATCCTTCACAACAGCTGCCTTCTTACCACCACCACCCCATATGCTGTAATACCATATCTTTGCATATACTCTTTGTTATATTATGTATCAAAAAAGACCAATTCTGAGCACTGAATCAGGTCAGCTGTCAGATGAAACATCAGAAGGCCAAACCAAGCCACATAACACTAAATTGACTCCTACTATTGGAATTCAAAGCAACTGGCCAGTGCAATAAGGGAGATGCTGTACCCAATCCCTGTAGTATTCCTGGAGGATGATCTTAGAACCCCGATTACATATTTAACTCCATACATATTCTCTCTCCTTACAACTTCCAGGCTAATCTATTTCAGGGCCCAACTGTGATATTAGGAATGGTTACAGGTAGTTCTCAACTTACCACCACTCATTTACTGATCGAAATTATAACAACACATAAAAAATGACTTAGGACCATTTTTTATACTTATGACAATTACAACATACAATATAAGTCTAAGTGGTATTGCTATTGCTACCAATAGATCATTACTCCAAACTCCACTGTAGGGAGATTGTACAAACACAGTGGAAGAATCCAGTGAGGGATCAGCACCACATAAATACGGCGGTTCTGCTGTTATTTTTTAGGAGAAAAGTGAATCTACTATATTAGATAGTACATCCCTGGCAATTGGTGAAAAACATTTCTGACTCTCAACTAATATAGATTAAGCAACAGAATGATAGTTAAAAAGCAGGCCAGGCTATTGAATGTGTTGCATCTGCCTGCAGTAGGGTCTACACCAGTGTTTCTCAACCTTGTCAACCTGAAGATGTCTGGACTTCAACTCCCAGAATTCCCCTGCTGGCTGGGGAATTCTGGGAGTTGAAGTCCAG